AAACAGTGCCAGTCGTATAAGATCAAAAACACATTCAAGCATGCATCTTGATTTAATTGAATTGAATCACTTGATAGTGCTCACCACCACCACTGCATTCCTGTGGGGGCTCAAAGGCACAGGCCCAAAGCTGAGTGCTGAAGTCCTCAGGACTGTCCTGTCGACTGTGACACTGCAAGACATGCAACGGCTGCAGACTCACCGGCTCCTGTAACCGCAAGGGAGAGAGAGACGCCCATTAACGATGCGCTAATGACTGTGCAACGGGCAATCAACAGTAAACTGAATACAAGTATAAAAGCAACAACAGGAATCCACAACTTAAAAGAGTGATTCGGTGACCATTCACATGCAAATACAATAGTCTGGCACAATAAGGAAATTTTTTAGACACAAACTTTAGTCAGAATCTTCATTAAAGGTCAAAAAGTTTCAGGCCAAAAAATAGGAGTGTCCAAAACTTTTTTTACTGAAATGACAATAAAAGATTATGATTAAACTACATAATAAGGTTTTCAAGAATTGTATCCTTCTGAGCCTTTTTTCTCTATTATGACTTCCTTATATTGACTTTTTGAATTTCATGCTTCCAAAAAATATCTGAATATGAATTCAGTACGTTTTTAGTTTCTTGTCATAGATGTATATTCAAGTCACTGTATGCATTGTCAATATATACAGAAAAAAATGCCTTTGACTCACCTGAGGAACTTTGAGTTTGGAACTGGCAGTTTTCCGAGGTGTGTTGCTTTCTGTTTTGGCAGTTTTTGGTTTGCTCTGTTGAGCCGTGGTCTGATCTTTAGCAGTTTTCCTCGGGCTCTCACCTTTAGCCGGTCTTGATGTGGGTGTAGAGATGACTGGCTTTGCTGCCTTTCTGGGGCTTTCAGTTTTGCTAGCACCTTTCTGAGAAATATTTTCCAGGCGGCTTGAATTCCTTGGACTACCCTCTGGGGTGCCTACATTGGTCATTCTGGCGTGCTTTCTGGGGCTGGACATTATAGGGTCAGTTTTCTGTGGAGTGCTCGTCACTCGTGTGGATTTTCGTGGACTAGCCTCAACTGGAGCTGCACTCGCCAGGCGACTCGACTTTCGTGGACTGGCCTCTGCGGTCACCTCGGAGTTGTTTCTGGTTCTTTTCTGAGGACTTGTGACACTGTTACCACCAAGATCACGAGTTCTTCTCTCTGCAGGAGTCTGTGTGGTGTAAAAAAAAAATTGGATAGCGTTATAAATGTTTTCAAAAGGTTCCCTCGATACAGCCTTAAGTTGGGATGGGAGAAAGCATTTTAGCCGTATGAAGCTTACTGTATCATATCTGGCATGCAAATGTCTAAACTTTGCTTAAAAACCTGTTGTACACAGTCTTCTACATGCCTTCTGTCGTCTGATTGAAATTTGATACTTTTTTTAGGGCCTTTTAGTATAATTCTAAAAATAAAATGAGTAATATTTCAAGATGAACACTTACTGGACTGAAGCAACTTAGG